AGGCTCGCGCGCCCTCCAAAATGCATTGAGACGGTCACGAACGGACAGGGGCCAGCCCAGTGTTTCCTGTGTACATCCCCGCGCGTATACACGAATACTCGGGCCGTATCGTTGATCGTGAATCGTTCCGTGATGGCAATTCACTAGGCTGACCTAGTATCGCGCCGCTGGATACGCTCCAGAACGAAATCGAATCGATTCGAGTGGGTTCGAGAGTACAAAGGGCGAAGGAATTCATTAATTCTGATGGTCGGCTAGGTCTGTGCTCGCATTGAGGTGTCACGATCCCGCCACGATTCCTGTTTTCTAAGAGGATCCAGTTCCTCGATATTTCTTTGGGGAAATCTTCCGATTTTCGAGATGTTCCTCCGGATACGGACTACGTTTCAGAAGATAATAGAGGTGTCACTTGGGATGAAACTCCGTTTTCCAATGGGAAATGGAAATGGAATATTGGATTCTCGAAACGTTTCATATTCCTATATGTTTTTTCCTATGCTGTGTTTTGTATTTACGTAGACGCGCGCATTCCGCATATCTCGCGTTCATCGCGCGTTTATAAAGACGAGAAACGTATGATTTTTAAATAATTTTTAAATTTTTTTATGGAAACGTTTGTAGTTCGATGGAAAAAAAAAAGAAGTGTCTCGATTTTGATAGAAGGAAGAAGAGAAGTGTTTGAGTTTTGTTTGTATAAAAACGCAGAACAGATGCACACAACGTTGCGAAACACGGAAGAGCAAACTCGCGTGTTTAATTTTATTTCTTCTGTAACAATATCATATCTGTACAATGTTACAAATTGCTTGTTACAACAAGTGCGATTGGTTCTCAATCGTCTCTTCCTCGTTACCAGATAGATAACGAGGATTCCACGAATTAGAGCAATTCGAGCGAATTTTCTAGGAATTTCATCGATGAGATTAGGACGAAGATCCGTTAATTGAATGGGATTCGAACATGGAACAATTCGAGTACGAATTGAATCTAACATCTGCTCGATTACACTACCTTCCGAGGATATCGATTATACATAATATGAAACCCATAAAATCAAGAATAAATCTATGACGACGAATTTATATTGATGACTAGGCGGATATAAAAAAAGAAAAAAAAGAAAGGATGAGAAAGAAAAAGATTCTTCTCCTAGAAAAGGACCAACAATTGAAAGTTATTCCTTTGAAATCGCAATTCGTCGAAACGACACGTTTTCAATATTTCCTTTTTCTTGACGCTTTTTCCTGATGCTGAATAATTTTGACCAAGTTAAAGCGCAACTACACTTGAGCACACAGAGAGCAAGAGATTCGACAAACGGAGCCACGTTCTCTGTTCGTCTTCCGTTATATTTCGTATCTCTAGCATCCCAGGAAAAGGCGGCAGAATGATGAGAGGAAAGAAGAAACACATGTTTCGTATTAGATCTTTTCTACCTGTCGACCTGAGCCAGGGAAGCGTATAGAAAGTGTTTAATGTAGAATACCGCGCCAAGGTGGCTAAGGTAACACCGGTAGAAGAGAAACACGTGTTCCTTAAGGCCGTGGACATTGTGCCCACGGGGATGGAGGAGTCTAGACAACAGGACAGGTTCATTCTTCCTTCCGGAACATATTGACAACACATGTTTCCTATTTCGGGATGCACTTTGCTCTCGGCAAAAAGGTGCATAGCAAGGTGGTTATACAGCCCAGTCGTAAACAGCAGGTTCTAACCTGCTGTCATTCCTTCTTCCTCTTCCCGACGTTTTTGTCCCGGAACATTTGCACACGTGACCATGCTGGCCCGCGAGAATTTCGAAATGCGACGAGATGCGTCGTAACACCGGAGGCTGCATCTTCGTCAAAGGATCTCTTATTCTTCGATCGTTCCTTTCCTTTCCATTTTTTATTTCTCTTCATCCTTCCAATATCGAAAACGCTTATATATATACGTTATACTTGAAATAGTTTAAAAAGAATTCTCGTATAAAATATCTTTTATATCTAGCGGTAAGTAAGAAGAACGCGCAAAGATCCTTTCAGCGCGATGATCCTTTATCTCCACGAAATGTCAACTGCTTATGAAAATAATCAAGAGTAGTATCCATAAATTTCGTTGCGTAATCGGAATAATCCTCCGAGCGGTTGTGAGCAAAAGATCTCGATGCTGTATCCGGAGGAGGTTCTGGGAGGTTATGGGTTTATGGTATCTCGTCGAGGCCAACAGTACGGCCACCAGCAATCGCCTTTGCTTTCAATTTTGCCACCCTTTGGTCTAGTTGTGCCCGTCGTTCCTAACCATTCTCGGTCTCCCTGTTCCTCTCTCGTTCATCCCCCAAACTCCTTTCCTTTTCTCCCCGCTCGATCCACGCTTCATCGTCCCGTTTCATCCACGTTTTCTGCCTCTCTTTCCAGTCTGGAGCAGGGAACCCAGACATGGGAGTTTTCACGTGTGCGTGTACTCTACGAGGGGGTCTTTCGACTGACCCTGCTCCAAGGGTGGAGCTTAAAATAAGGGTGGTACCTCGCGGCTTACCTACCCCATCGAGAAACAGCATTGGGGATGGGATGGAAGAGAAGGAATAGCAGTAGGTGGAGAGACACGCCGACGGAGGGAAAGAGAAAAGGATCAAACGCGCGACACGAGGTCTCCACGAGC